GCAGACCTGTCTCTCTATTTCGTGCTTTTCCGGTGACCGTTGGCAGCTCTCGTGCGTGTCTTGCTTGGCGGGCTGGCCATGCCCATGATGGACTCGTGCGTTGCGTGCCTTGCGTAAAGGCTTGTACGGCAGAGATTGATCCTTCTGACCACGGTGTGTGTTCGGCACACAGCAACTTCAACACCCCATACGTGACGTGACGTGTGTCGGTCGATCGATCGAGTGCAGCTAGCTGCGTACACACCAGGCCCGGCTCCCCTTCATACAATGAATGAAGCGACCCACCCAACCCAGTCCACCGAATCACCCACGCCACGAAACAAACGGTTCAAAAAGGCGGGCGTGTTTCTCTCCCTCTCCCCCTTGTAAGTAAGCGTGTGTGAAACAACAGTACAGACATCTAAGCAAATGCCTGGCTGGGGGTCCGGTCCGCCCGAAAGGTGTGCAATGGGCCTAGGCACATTGCCAGCAATAGAGGTCAGGTACCCGCAATAGACCTCCATTGCCAGCAATGAGGATCTATTGCCAGCAATAGGGCTCTGTTGCCAGCAATAGGCCTCTGTTGCCAGCAATAGGCCTCTGTTGCCAGCAATAGGCCTCTGTTGCCAGCAATAGGGCTCTGTTGCCAGCAATAGGGCTCTGTTGCCAGCAATAGGGCTCTGTTGGCAGCAATAGGGCTCTGTTGGCAGCAATAGGCCTCTGTTGCCAGCAATGGAGGTCTATTGCCAGGAATGGAGGTCAGTTGCCAGCAATGAAGGTTCACCGACGGCAAAGGGGGTCCATTGCCAGCAATGGACATTCATTGTGCGTGTATTGAAAGTCTATCTTCAGTGTCAGCTCAATCACGATGGGGTCCTCAGATTCAACAAGCAACTCCCAGTGTTGTCAGCCGACAAAGAGGATATAGATAGGGCTGTTGACATGGCTGTTGAGTCTAGGGCGTGGGCACGGGAGCAGGTGCCTTCTCTAAAGCTGGCCGCTCAGGCAGTGGAAGAACAGGCCATGTCGAAAGTGAAGAATGATGAGTGTGTGGCTATGCGTACGAGGGTGGGGAAGAAGAGGAAAAGGGAGCCGTTGCCCGAAAAGGACGATTAGTCATTGAATTGTAACAAAATGTATATACACTGACTAGCGGTAGCCCGTGCTTCGCGCGGGGAGCATTAGATAAATCACAGGCAGACCCAAAGAGCTGAGCGACAGATCAGAGACGACTGTTGTTTGTGCGCCAAAAATGGAGACACACGAACAAGATGTGTTGGCATTGAAGATCACATACACAATCCCATACACAGAAAACAGCCAAGGATCGGAAGCCCATATATACACAATGACAACAGGCAGCGATAGAGCCACAGAAGTCTTCGCATTAGCAGAGACACGTGAGAGACACGCGTTTGAAACAGCACTGCTTCTGTCAAAGGCCAGATATATTAGATGTAGGAAGCTCAGGAAAACAACGGCAAAAGGCTTTCGTTGAGAAGCCTCGTGTGGGGCGCTCTCTGCTGGCAGCCATGTGATGGGCTTCACTCGACCGCAGCTCAGGGCGAACCACGCACAGTCATGTTGGAGAGCACCGACACACATCCCCCCCCTCCCGGCAGGCGTCAGTGAGGAATGCCGTCAGATGAAGGACTTTGAGGCTTGATCTCTGACCCATTCGCTTGGCTGACTGGTGGTCTGTCGTTGGGGCTGCTCGTGCTGGCCCAACGGAGATGACCGATAAACAAAACGACCCGCTGCGGTCACCACAGAACAATCACTGCGCCGACCAGCAAAGTAGACACGCCTCTCATCGCCGTCGCTTCTGTTGCTTGATGTGAAGAGGCCGTCGCTCTTTGTCAAACTGCTCTTACAGGGTGCGTGAGGAAATGCACACGCACACACATAAACACAGAGACACAGAGACACACAGACACACAGACACACAGACACACAGACACACACACACACAGACACACACAGACAGAGAGAGAGAGAGAGAGACCGTGCGACTTTGATGAGACTGTGCGACTTTGATCTCTAGCCTTGTTCGCTGCTCTCACCCAGCTGAGCCGTCAGTAGCTGCTCTCACCCAAGCGGACGACGACCGTTGTAACAAATGTATATACACTGATTGAAAGATTCTCGTCGATGATCTTCTGAGACGTCATTCATTCAATGTTTTCCCCACATCTACAGATAGGCTTCGTTGCCTTCAAATGCCTCATCGGGGAGATGTTCTCTCCACTGACACGTTGCATCATGAATGGCTACAGACGTCGACGCGTCACCTCCGGTTCGCTCCGTAGGTGAAAATAGAAGAGCCGAACATCATACACTAGTCTTCGGGGTAGATGGATGTCGTCCGAGAGAGAGGCGAACACCTA